ATGTATCATTCAATTATTCCAGTTCATCATCCCAGTTCTCATTCATTCTATCATTCATTTATTTAATCGCACATGCACTAAACCATTATTTAGTTATTCAAGAGCCGGAGTTAATATTAGAGTTAATTGTAGTGCTTTCAATAAAAGCAGAGTAGGGATAAATACCAGGAAAAAAATGTCAAACGTCGATCATTTTTATATTTAGATAAAAAAATACCATGCTTTCGTATTTTCCTTGTTAAAATTCGCTCCAGGGCAGATCTATTTACAAAGAAAATTTACGTTAAARTTGATAAGAAAAACACCTGTATCATTACCGCTATTGCGGCAGACGATGGCCCGCTAACTTCCATTCAATCGAGTTCTTAGAACAGGCCGCCAGTAATGCGTCTTCTGCGTAAGAGGCCTGTTGGTGCTTTTTGGATATAGTTATTCCTCACGTTGTATTTTTATTCCATGTCGCGGCGATAGTCGCGTGATCAATGCCAAAGTTTCGAACATGCTTGAATTTTAGCTGCAACTTTTCCTTTTTTCTTTTTCTGCAACAATCGCAGGTCTGTTTGCACGATAGAAAAAATCGCAGGTCTGTTTGCACGATAGAAAAAATCGCAAGTGTAAATGTGCCTTTACGAAGATTGCATGCGATCGGCCTCAAGGACCAAATAAGAAACAAATGGCAAAAAARTGTACCCCTMCTGYTCCGCTCCRCCAAGTGACATTTTTTRTACATTTTATTTTTAACAAATGACAAGATTAAAAAAGAAACTTAAGTGAATAAAAAGGCATTCATGCACATTCTTGCAACGATCACCTGTGAAGAAACCATCGATTCAGATTACGATGCTGAACGACTCTCTCCAAAGAAACATTTCCTTTCCAATGACCAAAAACTCARGGATMCCAATAYCGCATGGAATAGCTGTCATTGTTCTCAGCCTCTTACTAGCAGYAGTYGGAACGTTTGGAAACACTTTGGTAATCCTTGCTGTTCTAAAGACACCACAACTTCGAAGAAAAAAATCCAATTACTTTCTTCTTAGTTTAGCGGTTGCCGATCTGATGGTTTCTGTTGTTGCTCAGCCTAGCTTTGCTTTTTTGGTATTTCTGCAAACGTTCAGGTTCCCTTGCATCCGTTTTCTTTTCATAATCAGTTTKAGGGTTTTTGGCCGTCTGACAAGCAGTAGTTCAATCTTCCACCTCGTGGCAATCAGCGTTGATCGGGCGATTTGCGTCGTGAAACCCCATCAACATCGGGCCATTATCAAGAGACGGTACAAGCCGATCGTTGCAGTTTGTTGGCTAGGATCTACTGGCGTAGTTTTTCATGAGTTTTTCCAACAATATGCTACGGRAAAATATGTTATGTTACCATTCTTCGTKTTGTTCTTTGTCATTATGTTTGTCTCGTATGCGATGGTTCTTTGCAAAATACAAACAAGGCATATTAACATTACATCAAATCAGACAATATCTACTGAACGAAATAGACTTACTGAAAAACGAGTCTCCCGATCAACAGCAGTCGYCCTGCTCCTCTTTCTGATTTGCAATAGCCCTATGCTTGGWTATAGAGTTTCATACGGGACCCTGACGRCGTGTGCGTTTCAGAAMAAAGTCTTGTGGCTGTTATTACTTTTCTTTTCCAATTCGTCCATGAATTTTATCGTTTACAGCTTGAGAATCCGCCAGTACCGTGTTGCTTTTAAAAGAATCATCCGTCAGGGGTGCAAAGCGTTTACCTAGAACTGAGACACGAAGGCAAAGGGTCCAGCTCAAAGGAAMAGTCATCTACTCTGAAAAAAGACCTGAGAACWTGTAATGATTGATGAGCTATAGCACGAGTATTAAAAGACTTAAACTGTTTGCGTAAGCTAGGACAATGATAAAGGAGCAATTCGTATTTGATGTCTGTTCAAAAACTGTTTAATGACACTTGGTTCTTCTGTGTGATATATGTTTCCATGAAAGTTTACAATGAACAAACTCTCTGGGTATAGCAGACCAGGAAAAAAGCTAACGAACAAAACGCCTAAGGCCTCCCTAGTTAGTTTTAGTGTAGCGTATACTTGGATTATCTATTCGATTCATGAGTAAGAAATTGTTATAAGCTTCTGAGTAAAAGAAAAAAAAATAAAAGTAAAGGCAAAGTATCAATAAAAAAGGCAAAATGAACACTCACTTTCAACAGTGTATTTAATATTTATTTTTGATTGATTGATTCATTGACTGATTGATTGACAGATAGATATATTGATTGACAGATAGATATATTGATTGACAGATAGATATATTGATTGACTGACAAATTGATTCGATTGATTGATTGATTCTATTAACAATGACTGAATGCTCACTCCTTTGTAATAATCATTGTCGGATATAGGTCCCAACCTTCGCTCCAAAAACACATATCGTTTTCATGCACGTCTGCTATACTTTTAAAGCGCCTGTGAACGTCGAAAATAGACTAGTACCAAAAAAGATTACGACTTCCTGGAGAAAGGCTATAAAGGACACGGTATAACAAACATGTTCCTTATCCATTTGCAGATATTCTCCTACCCAATGGTCTGCCAAGCCCCTGCTCGATAAGGTACCTTGTGGAACACTATTTCGACATACAGGGCACACCCAGGCGGTATTTCTTTGAACTCTTGTCACACTTTACAACATCAGAACTTGAAAGAGAAAAGCTGCAAGAATTCAATTCAACCGAGGGTCAGGTAAAGACACATTTTATTTCCTAAGAAATGTCTCACAAAACTGGCAAACTGTCTTCTATTTCTTTCCCAATCATTTTATTGATTATATTATTTACATTACATTATATTTTCATCATTTATCAGGAAGAACTTTATTCATATTGCTACAGACAGAAAAGATCAATGCTGGAGGTAAGATTTGTWTATCTTTTGCCATCTTCGTACTCTCACTAAACCACCTTTTAGTTTTTTTGGACTGTGTTTAATCAAAGGGAACTGATAATAAAAGCCCACGGGCACCCAAGAACCCTTGCGCGACTTTCTCACAACGGACTGTATAGAAAAAATATATGAGCAATTCAAAACAAGCATCAGCTTTAGGTCAATATATCGATAGCATCAACTTTATACAATGAATGATTTTTTGTAGGTTCTCCAAGACTTCCCACACGCCAGTGCAAACCTTCCATTTGAGTACTTATTTGACGTCATACCCCCCATKAAGCCTAGAGCTTTCTCCATCGCCTCATCAATGCTGGTATGCTTTACTTAATTGCAATAATTCTCCTTTTGCAGACTATCGCATAAGTTACTGAACTGTTCTCTCATTCTGAATACGTTGCGATTCTTTTAAAGCCAATGGCATTAAAGTTTTATTCACTATCAAAATATGTCTCGCTTCCTTCCTAYTATAAATAGTCTCCTTCACGGTTACCTGCGCCATCTTGAAAGGTAGCCGTGCCTTGTCATCGAAGCGAGACAACCGTTGAGCGTGCAATGATAGAAACCTTCTTTCACACCTATAGACAATTATTCACAGGTATCTATCATTGCACGCTCAACGGTCGTCTCGCTTCGATGCAAAGGCACGGCTACCTTTCAAGATGGCGCAGGTATCCGTGAAGGAGACTATTCCAAAAAATGTATTCTGTCATTATATTTATTTTCATTTATATTTATTTTCCTCCTCTTTTCTTCCTCTTTACTCCGACGAAGGATTAACGCCCTAAACGTGAATAAGTTGTTTCACCTACTTTTTTACGGTGTTCAAATTTATCTTTTTGCAAAACAAAAACAGTTTAGTTATTTTTCTCATCAGGCGCATCCCAATGAAATACAAATATTAATGGCGGTCGTGCAGTATAAAACCAAGTTAGCTAAACCGCGTCGTGGTCTGTGTTCTACATGGCTATCGTCCTTAGATCCATCTAATAATCACCTTATTCCTGTATGGGTTACCAAAGGCACGATATCGCCACCTAAAGATAGCAATATACCAATGATTATGATAGGGCCTGGTAAGTGATGATGATGATGGTGATGAATGATGGTTGGTTAATGGATTAAACAATGACTATGGTTTAGCGATGTATAACGTAGTAATAGTTAATATTTGTTGTTTTTTTTCAGGAACAGGAGTTGCCCCTTTTAGAAGCTTTATTGAAGAACGAATAAGTCAAGGCTGTACAGGTATCCCAACTTGTACTTTGATCGCGGTTAATTGAATATTATAAATCCGCCTCGTGTACCTTGGAGATCGCGTATTCTACATAAAACAACATCTACGTATCGAATTCGATCAAAAACAACAAGAATAGCCATAGAAAGTGTCAAAATATCAAGACCAAAGACAATAACTGTATTCATTAGTCATTTTATTGTATATCTTTAGCTGGTGTTCTGTTCTTCGGGGCACGAAACCGCTGTAAAGATTATTTCTTTGAGGAACAATGGAATGACTTAAGCAAACGAGAGGTGTTAACTGTGTTTACTGCTTTTTCAAGAGATCAGGTAAATTAGGCTAGTCAGGATTGACTAAAAAAGCTCTCTTAATAAGAGCTGGAATATGATAGAGCGGATTTCGTATGAGTGGGACACCGTTACCGCACGGTTGCCGCACAGTTACCGGACCTGGGCTGCACAATTTTGGTGAACCAATGGGGCACTGTTAGTCACAAAAGTCACTAATGTCACTAAGCTATGAATTGCAAAATCACATTCTCTCGGACTCTATTTATCCCATCAACCCCTTCGAGCGAAAATGAATCGAGTAAGGAGTGGGTACGAATCTGTGTTTATATTGAAGTGTTTGTTGTGTTCCTTTCAAAGGAGGAGAAAGTCTACGTCCAGCATGCTATGAGAGCCAACAGTTGGTTAATATGGGATATGCTTAGTAATAAAAAGGCATCGTGTTACATAGCAGGGTAAGAACACGTGACGTGGGCCGACGCTCTAAATCCGTGAAACGTTCAAAAATACTAGCTAGTCATTGGAGGATACTATCTGTGTTTTCATTCTCTGCTAGAAACACTTGGTATCATTGGGAGAGAACGAGAAATGTTTTGAATCACGACCTGAAAGCGATAGAACACGGAGTTTATCTTCGATTTAAAGGGACACTGTCAATGGATGACATGCGCAGTAACAGTCTCACCTCTAACGRACTTTGAAAGTATTACCTTCGAGGTAAATCATTTTGTGGTGCTTTTGACAAACTTTGGAATATTCTAGATCTGTTTACGTTTACAAGCTGATTTATGTCGCGCCAACTTGGAGTCATAAACTTGAAAACACTAGCCTAATGTTTTCAAGTTTACTCGTGCATGCGTGCCATTGACAGTGTCCCTTTAAGTCATGTTTTTATGCGGAATAGTTCACCAATAAATGTGCGCGTTATAGTTATTTTATGAATTATGCTAATTATGAATTATGCCTTTGTTTTCTCTTAAATAATCAACGCTATTTAGGAGTTAATTAGTACTATTCGTTTCACGGATTTAGTGCATACACTCTACTTCGTAAATAATGTTATTGCTAATTAAAATTTTACACTCTCTTATGATTCCTACATAAGCGTGCAATAATTTATGGTATTGCATTGTGACGTCACAACATCCAGAAATAAAAAATTAATACCTGTTTATTATTATAATGCCAAAAATTACCTCATTCCCACGCTCTTTTTCATTTGTTTCGAAGTTTTATAAACAAATACTCTCGGAACTAGACAAGTTTACAATTACAGGGACAATGATGATAGCTGTACTGCTTGAGTGTATTTAAGACAACTTATTCTGTGATGTATTCTTAGAAATTCCAAGCGTATGCCCATCGACGTCACAGAGGCCCTCATTGAAATCATCGGTAAAGAAGGAAAAATGGATCTACCAAACGCACACAATTATATGAAGTACCTTGAGCAATCCAGACGATTTCAATGTGAAACTTGGTCGTGAATAAACAATTAGTATATCAACAATTATGAAAAACTGTAGTGACGTTTTTGAAGTAAAAAGATCAATTCATTTCTCCTGCCTCGTTTATAAAAATGAATCATTTTTAGCGTTT